TGAGCAGCAGTAGGCCAGCGACACCGTTTGGCTCTCTCACAGTGGCGGGGTGGTTTATAGGGCACATGATGTTGATGTCAATCAGGAAACTGTGTCATTTCGCACTAATGCCAACTATTTCTCCTCGGCCTTAAGCAATCACTTTACTCCACATTCCTCCTGCAGTTATTACCTCTGCAGTCAATACAAACTCTCCTCTCTAACTGCCGAGCCATTTATCCTAATAGTGCCATTCTCTCTTTCTCTAGTTACTCCCACAGCATTTCAACAGTGTTCACTAATGCACAGCATATATCAGGGCTGCAACAAATGGTAATTTTCATCATTGATTACTTTACCGATATTTTTTTTTACAAATGACGTATTAATCATTTGGTCAGTAAAATGTAAAAAAAAAGTGAAAAATGCTTATCACAATTTCCCAGAACTCATAGTGACATCTTCATTTTGCGTCCTTTGTCCAACCAGTGGTCCAAAACCAAAAGCCTATCATATATTTACAACATCATACATCACTGACTGTCATAAATGGCAAAGAAAAGCAGCAGAACCCTACATTTAAGAAGCTAGAAACAGCAAATGTTCAACATTTTTACTTTAAAAATGACTGAAACTGTAAATCGCTTATCAAAATACTTGGTGATTAATTTTCTTTAGATCAACTAATCAATTATTGAACTAATTGTTGCAGCTCTAGTATACACACCCTGTTTACTGTGTGCTCACAAGCAGGATTCACAGCCTTTCATTAAGTCCTTTATATGCTTGGGCGGTATCTATTTTTTCATACCTTCATACCTTCCTGACCTGCATCAGGATATACGGATATGACAGTCCATGTGAAAAACAAACAAACAAACAATCAAACGAACAAAAAAGTAGCCTAAAAGCTGAGCTACTAGTGATAGGAGTCATTGTCACATGTATGACATTGTCTAGCCCAGTGGTTCCCAACTGGTCCAGCCACGGGTCCAGATTTCCCCTTAGTCGTTAGTTCAAGGTTCACACAGTTTAATACATTCAACGTCATACTTGCGTTTGGCCATGTCGTCGGGTAGTTTTGCTGTCTCTGCCAATTAGCTGTCCATTATTTACTCACTCTAAAGCAGGAAACGGCACTTCAAAATAAAAACTTGCGTTTGTGAGTCACTTGCCGTCCATTCAGAATGGACCCGTGGCCCACTTTTGGACCATGACCCACCAGCTGGGAACAACAATGCTGTGTTTTTACTGTGCAATTAGCCCACATAGACAAGTTGTTCTAGGTTTAAATACATACAGTACGGCCCATAGAATAATGAATAGATAGGAAATAAGTGGCCTTCTTTATAGATTCTTGCTCGTTGCCACGGCGGATACCGACACATCAGTGGGCTGAACGGTGATGATGTGTGGAATAAAATCACATTGCTGATAAACTGCTTTTGTAATTGGAAGACATCATCTCAAATTAGAGTTATATTTGGCAATACTCTCAAACAGGGAAAGAAGCATTTTCCTTTTTTTTTTTTACGACTCCTGTAACGTTATCCCCACCACTCACAGTCCCCATCTCTCTCAGCTCAGCTGCCTGTTCCACCGGTACAGACTGACCTCTAATGGTGCATGCTGTGCACTAGGGATGCACAATATTGGATTTTTTGCCAATATCCATTACACCGTTATATAACAACTAATTTGGCCGATAACCAACTATATTGATTGATAATTCCACTTTTTCCCCACCTAATTTTAGTGATCAAGTCTCTTCTGTAGTGGAATTAACATCATATTATGCATGTATACTCTTATTGTGATGGCCCACCAGCAGATGGAGACATGAAATACAATACTTTTCAATGTTTGTAATATTCATTCATTTATTGTGCAAAATAAGAAAAAGCATGTTGGCTGATTCTGAAAGTTCATTTTAAAGCCAATATCGGCGAATACTGATGATGTGCTGATATTATCGTACATCCGTACTGTACAACACAACATCTTTGTATCAGTTTAATTCATAGAGGAGCATCTGTATATTTGAGGGTATGGAAAATCATATCTTTGGGATTTCTAAATACCCTGGTATACTGTAATACCTTGATACCGCCCAAGCTTAGGCCATAGTCTGAGCAACAAGAACCGTCAAGATGCAAAATGTTTAAGTCAGCTCTAAAATCTAGGCTTGAATATTCTGCATCATGAAAACCATGAATATTTAAATTTGTATTTTTGGTCTCTCCTGGCTACACTGCCAGCAGGCATACCACAGGCAATACAGGCAACATATGTTAAATTGTATAAGGGATGTCGCTGATTATTTTAATTTGTAATTTAAAATGCTTGTGTGTTTTTTCCTTCCTTAATGTTGAAAAATGAACTCCCTGATTAATAATTGTGAAAGCTGTGAAACAGTGATATTTCCTCCGCCAAAACCCACGATACCAGGATCTCATATAGTGATATCTCTAACGTGTACTTGTTAGTGAAATATAGCATACTGTATAAGTTCAAAGAAGAAGTGTGACACAGGCAGGTATTGAGCAACAGGGCAGACAGGCAGATGTGTTTCACTGCTCATATCCCCTGACTTCTCCCTGCCTCCGGCTCTGTCTGTCACCACCTCCCAGCCAGTTATCTCTGATACAGAATGACAAGTCAGACAGGGTGGAAGGGGTTAGATTAGAAAATGATAAATACATGGGCAGGGGAAAAAACATTTCCCCATGTCCTTCTGTATTTCTGTGCTTTTGCTCTGTTAAGAGTCCCATATTATGCTAATTTTTTAGGTTCATACTTTTATTTTAGGGTTCCTCTAGGACATGCTTACATGCTTTAATGCTCAAAAAAAGCTTTATTTTTCTCATACTGTCTGCCTGAATATATCTGTATTAACCCTGTTTGAAACAGGCGACTGTCGCTTTAAGCCCCCCTCTTGGAAAAGCCTGGTCTGCTCTGATTGGTCAGTGTGTGCAGGTCTTCAACAGCTGCGCTCTCTCTCTGCTTACCTGCCCCATTATTGCAGCCAGAGAATGACTGTAATGGCACTGTAGTGGCAGTTTCTACCTTTATATAGACCCTTTTATTGTTAGTAAACAGTATGATGTTTTTGGTGGGCGGGGCTTAGCTGGAGGCAAAACAATTCTCCACAGACATTAGTTAGCGCTTGCTAGCGAGTTCTGTTGGCTTGTGTTAGACAATGGAGGAAGATGATCACTCAATGGATGGATGATGTCACAGGAAGCTTTGTGGTTGATTACTATGCCAATCTTACAAAGGAGGGCGACACTTGAACGGTTTCCACCAGTTTGTTTTGCTATCAAAGCTAACGTTAGCTAATGTGCTAAAAAAGTTAGCATAACAGAGAAATCCAACAGTCCTCTTAATACTTCCCTATTTTCTGATGAGGTGGACATGATAACCTTTAATACACATAACTTTATTCATCCCTACAACAGGAAATACTTTTTCCCTAACCTGATATGAAGTGTGTGCTGCACATGGGAGCATATTTGATGATCGCCTCCGTCCAGTCCTTTTGTCTTATCACTTTTAACCATAGTTGTCTTTGTTTTTGTTGACAGGCAGTGGCAGCTGGTATGTGATAAAATTTAAGTTTTGAGCCATGACTCCTTCTATTCTGGCTCCCAGTAACACAACAAGACAACATTTTAAGACTCCTATGTAGCCTACAGCCCTGTGCTGGAGAGTCATGTTTTGCCTCCAGCTAACAAACTGATGCCATTGTGACGTCAGACCTAAAAGGGCCTATAGTATAGATGTGACATCACAACCTCCTGGAAGTCCTGACGGCTTGTTTAAAGGCAAAAGTTTGAGCATTTCAATACTTTCACAGTATTCAAATGGCACCTATTCCTGCTATGTAATAAAAAAAGACACAGAAATGTGACTTTTTTCAATATGGGGACTTGAAATTCCACTAAAATACCAAACTAGTCAGACTGAGTTGTGGGGAAATTTGTCCAAAAAGATAGAAAATCATATTGAACTTCTTCATCTGATGTAATTGTGCAGCCATAAAAAAACATCTTTCCTTCAATAGTGTTGTAACGAGCAGATATATACTCTCAGTTGCCAGTTTATTAGTCCCTCCTACCAAAAACTAATGCAGTCTGACAGCACTGCAATAAATCATTCCTTCGTTAGGTTGTAATGCTCAGTGTTCCTGGAAACAGTTTTAGAGAGATTTAATTCAACTTTATGGTCATTAGGAAGCTGTTTGTGGCACTGTTGTATTTTACTAATGTGTGATATTGATATCTGGATTTTTCTCTTGTCTTAAAGCTTCTCGGGAGGAGATTTAAAGTGAATATTAGGGTTCAAGAGGTTGACTGAGCAACTGTTTCTCCTGTTTGGCAAAACACTGGTTCATAAAGGGTTAAAGTTCGAAAGAAAAATGTTTTTAATAATAATGATTGTTCGTTAATTGTCTGGTTAGATCATCATTTCCTGCAGCTTGAGTTTCACCACTTGCTCTCCAGAGAGGTTTTTTTTCTTTCGTGCCAGCTATAATTTTGGAGAAAACCTCTCCTAATGGCCTGTCTATCAGCAGATGGCCAGTAGCTACCTGCCAGCTAGGAGGAGGGAAGGACATCTGAGAGGAGAAGTAAATAGGAGAGAGAGAGAAAGAAGAGAATGGCTAAAGAACAAACCACATGGCGTGCTGTATGAACCGAGCAAGAAAAAAAAAAGCCTCTTTTCTCATCCCTCACTCCTGCTTTCTGTACACTGGCATGTCTCCTGGGTTTAACTAGAGAGAGTTTAATTGAGGCCGGTCCTGTGTGTGTGTGTGTGTGTGTGTGTGTGTGTGTGTGTGTGTGTGTGTGTGTGCAGACTCAACCTTAAATAAATTCTATTTCCCCATCTGCCTGCAGATAACACACCCTCCTGCTCCACGGGGGATATGTTTCATGCTTTAGTTTTGCAGTAATTCTTCTTAGTATACTGATATTCATGTGATCGTGTGACTTACAAACACACACATAGATCGTTTAGCTTACCACCATCTTGTTGAGCGAGACCCAGCAGTCAGACGGAAAGTCCTGCAGCATGGGAACAAGGAACTGGAGACAGCCATCCCAGTGACACAGCAGCAGCATCATACCAATCAGGTTGAATATTCGCATCACAGCACTGGCCAGGTCATAGGTCATGTGGAAGATCTGTCAGGAGGAAAACAGACGGGCAGAGAGAGGGTTAGAAAACTGGAGAGGAGGAAAGACGTGTGAGGGGAATGAGAATTGAGTTTATGTTTATACAGATGGAGGTAAAATATAACAGTATATTGTTATAGTGAGGAGAGACCTGGAAACAGCTGGTGATATTTTGCTGTATGGTCTACAGTACATCAGGGGTCCAGATCCTGATTCATTCAGAGGTTTGGACAACCAGAAAACACCTAGTATGTTACTATTTGCATGAGAAAGTCATTAAATCATTTGACCCTTCGCTAAGCCCCGCCCCTTTGTGATGGTACGACAAGCTGTCAGAGTAAGCATGGAGCCCACACTGTAACTAACTGCAC